GACACATCAAAGGTGTTTTTAAAATGTTTGAATGGATGAATCTTCCAAAATCATTGTTTTTAAAATTTTTAAGCAAGGGCCATAAAGAATGAACCCCTCTTTCCACCTTAGAATCAAAGAGTAAATGTGCACATAAAATTTTTATAAATTTGTGAAGGAAAATAAGAATTTAGTACTTTAAGTATGGATCAGCAGAACAAGGAAAGTCATCCCTTCAGAAGACTCTGAGAGGAGATTTTATTTTTATGCCAGTACCCACAGTACTATGGATAAAAGCCATTTATTTCTGAAAGTATCAAAAACATTTGGAATCACCAACTTCACCTGTAACAAAGATGGATTCATTAGTAATGGAATTTTCAACTGATTCCATATGTCAGAAGATAGTCTGAGAGTAAAACTTGTCTGTTTGTAACAAAATCCTTGATAGGGTTAAGCAGCTGTGTTTAACTGTCCTCCGGGTCATAGATGGAAAACTCTACTAATGTGATCTAAGCTTGAACGCTCACGGCCTGACTTGCCTGCATTCATGTAGCTGTCAGCCAGTAGTCCTGTCGCTGAGTGTCGCCTAAAAAGACAAAAGATTTAATCAGTGTAACAGGAGAACTAAATCAGCAATTCTTACAAAGGAGGGTTTAACAAGACACCTTGCACTGCAGAGAGTGGAGTGGGTTCGTCATTTCAACCAAAGGAGGGAGAACAGAATAGCTGGGGCACATGGTTCAGCATCTTTGATGTGGGCCTGTGGCAGACAGAGCCTTCACAGTGGCTTGTTTACTCCCAGGAGTGTATGTCTCTGAGGGGCTGGTCCTTTCAGTATCTATCCACCGGGAGAACCTGAAGGGTTCCAACCTGCAAGAACTCACCTGGTCTCATGCAGGTGTTCGTGGACAAACAGAACTGAGGCCTCAGGAGAAGACTTGAACTGCGAATGGACCGCATGCATGATGGGTGGGCTGGGAAGGCCATGGCATACACAATATTAACTCTGCCCTTAGGGTCTTGTGACCTTGGGAAAGTGACCCTACCTATTAGTCCGTAAAGATGAGGCGAACTATGGTTTTTTGTCATTTCCTTAGAAAGCTCCAGGGGAATGAGCCCTCTGTGCCTGTAGCCAGTCAGACCTTTAAAGATATATGACAATGGGCGACAATGTCCCTGTTTTTCACCAAGATTAGGATAAAACAGTTGCCCCAGGGATCCCTGGGTGGCGCAGCGGTTTGGCGCCTGCCTTTGGCCCAGGGCACGATCCTGGAGACCCGGGATCGAATCCCACATCGGGCTCCCGGTGCATGGAGCCTGCTTCTCCCTCCGCCTGTGTCTCTGCCTCTCTCTCTCTCTCTCTCTCTCTCTCTCTCTCTCTCTGTGACTATCATAAGTAAAAAAAAAAAAAAACAGTTGCCCCGAAGGGATGGGATTTGTTTACCTGATTCCTATTCCCCATTTAGGCTCCACTGAAATGTGCCCACTTCCTCTCCAGATTTCTGACCCCCTGCCCTGGGAGGATTAGTCTTTTCCTTTCCTGGCTCCTGTGGATGTTTTGCCACCCACCCCACTCCAGTAGCACTATGCTGTACTTGTTCCCATGTCTAACTGACACCGCTGATTTTGTTCTTTAAGCTTTTTGCAGAAAAAGCCCCCATTGTCACTTTTTCCCTGAATCTTTTCCATCCGCACCCGTGTCCTTTGTCCGTTTTTATGGCACAGACATCTGATCCAGGGGGGATGTCACCTCCAGTAAGTAGACAACAGGCCCAAAATGTTCATGTCTCCCCAAAGCTGAGATTCTTTCTGCTCTCCGTCAGCTAAATCCTGCCTCGGGCTAACCTTACGTACAAATCTAGTTGCAAACTCTCTCGAATTTATTGGTCCCTCAGCAGACTACTTCCTGGCAATGCTGGGCCATGGCTCTAAGAGTAAATGCTAACAACTCCAATGAGCATTTCCTCCAAGGAGCTCTAAACTCTCTGGATACAGGTGTCACTCACCTGGCATCATGTTCTGAGACTTCTTTACTGTCAGGTCAAGTGGTGTCTTAGCCACACCGAGACCACAGGGCTCCTGTGGCAGGAACGGGGGTCAGGCTCATCCTGTGGTTCTATAGCCAACATCCCTGAGCTTCTAACTGCGGGAGGGGCTCTGCACTTTTCCTGGGAAATGCAGTGAGGAGTCCGGCAGGGCCTCTGCCCTCTTGAGCTCCTGGTCACAGGGGATACCAATGAGGATTACTCAGCACCCAGGAAGGAGTATGCCAGGCAGAGTGGGAGCACTGAGCAAGAGTGAGTGACTACCACACGGAGGCCTGCGTGTAAAAGGATAGTCTAGGGGCACCTGGGTGGCTTAGTTGGCTAAGCATCTGCCTCCAGCTCAGGTCATGATCTCAGGGTCCTGAGATCGAGCCCCGCATCAGGCTCTACACTCAGCCAGGAGTCCGCCTGAGATTCTCTCTCCCTCTCTCTCTGCCCCTCCCTCCTGCTTGTGCTTGCTCTCTCTCTCTCTCTCTCTCTCTCACACACACACACACACACACACACACAAAATCTTAAAAAAAAAAAAAAAGAGGATAATCTAAGTACAAGAAACAGAACTGGAAGGGGATGCCTGGGTGGGTCAATGGTTGAGCATCTGCCTTCGGCTCAGGGCATGATCCTGGGGTCCAGGATCGAGTCCCACGCTGGGCTCCCAGCATGGGGCCTGCTTCTTCCTCTGCCTCTCTCTCTCTCTCTCTCTCTCTCTGTCTCATGAATAAATAAATAAAATCTTAAAAAAAAAGAAAAGAAACAACTGGAAGAAGTGAGGAAGTAAGTGGGAAAGGACATGGCGTGTGATCAGGAGATGCATGGGGAGCAGAGGAAAGGAGACACAAAAGGACTCTGGAAAAGAAAGCTGGGCCAGCTTAGGAAGGGTTTATGTGCCCAGCCTAGGAACTAGGACTTTTCCTGTCCTCTCCTACCCAAGACCCGTGTATGTGGCATACACACTGCTTGGTATACAATGTTGAGTGAAAGAGGTGCCATTCCTGCCCACACGAAGCTTATAGTCTAGTGGAAGAAGTGAACATTAATCAAATAATCACCCAGCAAAATGCCTCTGCAGTCAAAGTACCTAGATAAGACAGTAGTGTGATCCAGTGTGCATTTTAGAAATCTCAAAGAATTGAGGTAGTTAGAGGGAGGCAACCAGAAGGGACATAGAATTAAATCTCTGCTATGGCAGGCCGGCATGTGTCAGGTAGTGGGATGGAGAGCAGGGACCAACTTGATTCCTTTCACTGGCAAAACAGAAAGGACTTGGGCAGTGTGAGAGGTCTATGGGGAGCTATGGATAATACCAACTTAAGAAAAAAACAGATGTGAGATACAGTCCAGGTGGGCTAATAATTGGACGTTTGGGCCATTTTGAGTTTGAAGTGTTAATGGACCATCCAGGTGGGGATTGAGACATATGGTTTTGGAGCAAAGGACATACTAGCTATAATTTTATCATAGGTCATGGATGAGATGGCCTGAAGAGGGACATAATTGCCCTGTTGTGGTTCCTAGGATGGAAGCAGAACTTGCAGGCCACAGGGATGTGATGCTAGGTGGGCTTTAGTTTGTTATTACTAGCCCATCTCCCAGCTGTTCAGCAAGAAAGGTATAAATCCATGCCAAAAAGTGTCAATGTCCTGAAAAGTTCTTTTCCTAAGGAACCAATATGCTTTTTTGTCCTCACAGACAATGTGAAGTTTGCATGTTTCCCTTCTTGCTTTCACAGCCAGGAAGCTCAGAGCTAATTTTGTAACTTTGTTTTAGAGACCATATAGGACCTGCATATCCAGGTTCTCTTTTCCCAAGTAAACACAGTTTATATATTTATGTATTCTTCAACTCTGTTTTTTTTTTCTCTCTCTCTGTTTTAGATATTCATGTAGGCTGCTTCAGATCCTTGTAAAATTAGGTGGGGCTTAACTGTATAAAAATAAGCACTACCCCCTAATTTTGGGGTACACCTTTTGTGAAATGTCTGCCCCATTGCTGAGCTAATACTGGCCAGATTTAAGCAGGAAGAACCCTTGGAATTCACAGTAGCCAGACATTGAATTTAATGCTCACGTAACTCGTTAAAAGAGGATAAAAGTACAGCTTCAAACATCTCTGTGTTTACCACCAAGTCTGTAAAGGGAGGGGTACCTTTAATTCACTTCAAGGTGTAAAAACCTGATCTTTAAGGATTGAGGAGACACCACTGAAATTAAAGGCTTGTCTGAGGAGATGAGCGCTCCAAATCCCTTCAAAAAAGTATCGAGGTGTTGACTACAAGGATGGGATGTGTCTTCAGCTTAGGCTGTTGTTTTCTTCACTCATAAAACGTAGTTTGGTAAAAGCATGCCTCCTCATCAGACGGCGAAAGCACATAGTTGACTGGATGGTAAATCTTATTTTTGATCAGCCCTGATTTTTAATATAAATAATTATTTTAAAATTATAATTTGCTATTGGCCAAGAACACCGTTCAAATTGTGTTCCATGGCGAGTGCCTCAGGGACCAGGAAGGTGCTGGGGTTAGGGAGGAGACTGCCAGCCACCACCCCTGCCCCCGACTTCCCGAGGAGCAGCCGGGTGCTTTTACCTAGCAGGGCTCCTTCTGCATAAGGTGCTACTTGAAGAAAGGATTCTTTTCAAGGTGAAAAGAAGTCTGGAAGTTATCACATTGGAGGGCACATCCCACGAGCTTGGTGTTGGGATATGGCTGTCTCCTATGGAAGGGGCCAGGAGTGGGGTTCAGAATCTCAGCCTCTTACCAACTCTGGGACTTTGGAGGATGACTTTTCCCCCTCTGAAACTGCCTCCTCTTTCACAGAACAGAATGTCTATGATGATAGTAGCCACCTTACCAGGTAAAAGAGGATTAAATAAACTAGATGGAGAAGCACCATCTAACTGAGCCTAAGAGCATCTAAGAGCCTAAGAGCCCTCACCCCGCTCCTCCAAACCTCCTGTCCCATCTCCATTTCCCAGGAGGAGCCAATCACCTTCTGTGAAGAAGCCTTCGTATCCCACTATCGCTCCGGAGCCATGAGGCAGTTCCTGCAGAATGCCACCCAGCTGCAGCTCTTCAAACAGGTACCCTGCCTGCCCGAGGGTGGCCTGTGGCTGGACCCCCGACGGGGATTTTTGCAGCCATCTTACTATGAGTCCTGAGCCTGCAGGCCTGCTGGGAGCCGGGCTCAACCGAAGGGGCTTGGAGTCTGGGGAGGGGGATGAGCGCAGAGGGTGGTCAGCGACCAGACAGACCCTTCACAGTTACACCGTTCAGATCTCCAAGTTATCATAAATGTGCAGCCAGTGTTTTAAAAACTTATTTTTAAAACAAAACAAAACAAAACAAAAAAACAGTTACCCCAGGCCGTTTCCTGTCTTGGGAGACGTGGTAGTTCTTCAGTCCTACATTAAGGTACCCAGCTGAATGGTTTTCCCCGTTTCTTTGCATAAGCTGTTATGCTTTTGTTCTTTCTTTTTGTAGTTTATAGATGGTAGACTGGACCTTCTCAATTCTGGTGAAGGTTTCAGTGACGTTTTCGAAGAGGAGATCAGCATGGGCGAGTATGCTGGTGAGAAGCAGTTCATTTTCCATTCTGTGCCCTAGGTTGTCACATGGGACTGGCATGTGCATGGCAGGGAGTGGCAGTGGCTGCTTTTTTCCTTCAGTGGGGGTTGGAGAGAGACAGATTTCACTCTCAGCCTTGAAATGTTTGAGAAATGCCTCTTCCTTTTCTGATGAGACAGGTGCGCCTTGGCCTCTCTGAGATCCTCTGTCCTGGGGTCAGTCGCTTCCCCTGGTTGGCCAAAGTCTAGGGAAACGTAGTGGCCAGCATGCTGCAGCACAAAGCAATCGAGGCATTGAGTTAGGAGAGCTGGCTTCACACCAGGACCCTGCCTGCAGGAAAGCAATGAGAACTTGGTCCTGCCAGGTCACCTCTCCAGCTGAAGGGTCCCTATCTGCCCTGAGGAGAACAGTGCCCACCTCACAGGAGTCCTGTGGAGATTGGCTCAGAGAGGAAAAGGCTTGTGCAGCCATCAGGACAGATGCTGGCACAGGATTATGACTAAATAAGTGTTTTTCTTTAAAAGGTGAAAAATCATCACAGAGGGCCCAGTCTCCATAGACCATTAGGCCTGGAGGGATCATCCTGTCATTATTCAGAGGAGGCCAAGGAGGCCCAGAGAAGTGTTCGTGGTGGGCCCTGCTTCCCGAATCCCAATGTGGCTTTCTTTCCGAGTCCCAAAGCCTTAGTCTGTGGCAGTGAAGTCAAAACCAAATGCAAAATAATAATAATCATGCTGTTGGCTCCCTCGCTGGTGGGCACGTGCCTGGTCTGGATTAAGCTTATGTAATCCAGCTGGTGGCCCATAAATTCATAGTCAGGCATAAAACCTCGTTCCTAGGCCTGACCAGCCTGTGCCTGCATGGAGAGCGCAAACAACCAATACAACCAGTCCACAGCCAGTGACAGCGGGTCAGTGATAGGCATCTCTGGGACTCCTGCCATGTCCAGGGCCCTATAGAGTAAGAAACAGAGGACCGAGTTTTGCCCTCAAGGAGCTTTTACTGGTAGGAGAAATAACTGCATAACTAAAGACAAATACAGATTGAACCAGTGCAGGAAAAGGAGCAGAAATAGGCTTTTATGCAGTTAGAATAGGACTCCACTAATCCTCACTCTGTAATGTGAGAGCTTCACAAAGGAGGCAACGCTCTCAGAGTTGAATATGAGTTCTGAGGAGAAGACAGGCTTTATAAAGTGTTGTTAAACTAAGTCAAGTCATTCAGAGCTTTTAGAAAAGTTGTCCAATGATAGGACCTCCTTATCCCTCCAGACAAAATGAGCAAGCTCCCCCAACAACTCCTCCTTTTTCTTTCCCTGTCGCTGCTCAAGTGTGCTGGGGCTGAGTGTGTCCAGCAGTTGGGGGGACACACAGCCCTGTGGTTCCTGACTTGGGGTGGCTCACAGAAGTTCAGAGAAAGTGGACTTCTTCTAACAGGAGTTACCTGTTTTTGAAGGCTGTTCAGAGGAAGGTGGGGGGTGGGGGACAAAGAGGAAATGACGTCTGGGCCATTGGTTGACTCTCCTCAGCAGAGAGAGTAGAGAATGGTGGCCAGCAAGGGAAGCAGCCTTTTTGAGGGAATGGAGGGTGAGGGGATGGAAGTACAGGGTGGAAAGGCCGAGGGGGTGATGGGACCAGGACAAGAAGACTGGAGAAGAGAATCAGGAGTGCTAAGGGGTCCCACCTGACCTCTACCCAGTTGGCAATGAGGAAGGAGAATTGGGGCTAGTATTCAGGGCACTAATAGGATTGGATTTCTGAGAAAGAAAACTTGTGGCAGCATCTCACTGCTGCCTCCTGTGGGGAGTAGAGCATGGGAGCTTCCATGTCCTTCTCCAGACTGAACTCTTCAAATCCTGCTTGCTGTAAGCAGTTCAAGGAACTCCTAAGGGCGCATAACTTTAACCACTTCTCTAACTCCTCTTTTCCCAGGCAGCGATAAACTCTACCATCAGTGGCTCTCCACAGTCCGGGTAAGTGTGCACCCCCGCAGAGCCCCCCAGACCCCTCCTGAGCCTCCTGGCAGCCCTCCACTTCCCCTGCCACCTGCAAGGTGGTCTTTCAGTCCGGGGCCCTCCATTCTTTCAACAGAAGATGCTTCTGCTTGTAAAGCCAGGCCATCTGGTGCCAAGTGGAGGCTTGCATGATGAGACCATCTAAGGCATCCCTCAGTGAGGGCAAAGAGAGCCAGGAGAAGCTTCCTCATCTCAGGAAGCTGGCCAAGGCGTGTTGAGTGGATGCTGTTATCCTAGAGCATTTCTGGGGAGACCAGTGTGATTGGAAAGTTTTCATAAGAAAATAAAAAATGCTGCTCTGCAGTGTTTTTCACAGCAAAGGCTCCTGGGACGATGGAGGACTTATCACTGAGGTTTTCACTGCCTCACTATTGTTATGAACAGTTTCTTGTATTGGAAGCTAGGTGCTAAGGTCTTCAGAAGCCACCAAAGAATTCAAATTCTTGCCTGTGCATGGGTTTGTCAGTGTGCATGTACTGAAGGCGTCTTGTGTACTGGCCTCCTGTGTAACAGGGAGCAGGAGGACACAGTCCCTGCCCTGGGGGAGCTCCCTGTCTTCTTGGGAAGGTGCATGTAAATGGGCAACTCCAACATAATATGTTAAGTGTTCTCTCCTGCTTGTGGGCTGAGCATACCACTGCCAAGGCAGGTCCCTTGGAAGTGGCTGCAGTTGGCCGAGAATAAGCAATTCCTCAATGAAAGAACTCTTTTGTTCTTCTTGTATGGCCAAACACTGCACTTGGCAGATCATAGACAAGCAATAAGGACTTGTTGATTGATTGGTAAAAGGAGTTTTAATACTCCAAAGGACCATTGAAATAGGATACTGAGTAATTTTGGAAAGCAGTGTGGAATAAATGAGCGGGTAAAAATTTCATACTGTCCTACAACATAAAATGCTTTCTAGGTCAGACTGCAGTGTTTTTAATTAAAGCTCAAAATTCCTAATATGGGCTGTTACCAAAAATTGTGCTAAGAGTTAATCCCCATAATTATCTCACTGTATCTTACTCTTTTATATACCTACTTGATCCTGTCTCTCTCTTTGTTCAAATCAGTTAGAATTATCTTCCCAAACCACTACAAATCTGATTATTGATGCATCTGATTAAAAATCGTCTAGAGTATAGACTCCATATCCTGGCCCCTCATGCACTGACCCCATCTGGCCTTAGCCCCACTTGCGGTTCCTCCAGTGACTGCACTTTTTTAACATGTCCCTAGAATGTCCTTCCTGTCCCCCACAGTCTCCATGGACCAGGCCAAATGTTTCATCCTCTAATCCCTCCCCTGACCTTGCATACCAGGAGCTGCCTCTACACAGAGCCAGTACAGCTGTCACGAGCTTTGGCTGCAACTGTTGGCACTGGGGCACCCCCCAGACTGGAAGCCTGTGAGGGCTAAGACCAGTCTCCCTGGGACTGAGTACCCTCCAAGGCTAACATAGGGTGTCTCTGCAATGAGCCCTTACAAGATGCCTAGAGCCTGTGCGCGTCATATCCATTCATTGCATCCTTTGTGTACTGGGCGAGCCATCCCTCCTCCTCTTCTCCCCTGTTCTCCCAAAGAAACTGAACAAAGAAACTGGTATGTTGGATTTGTATGAAAGCCATGATTCCCGTTGATGGCTTCTCATTCTTTCCTTCCCTCAAGATATCGATGTTAAGGAAGGCAGCCTACCAGAGTGATTAAAAATAACAACACAGAAAACCACAGTGAGGAAAGAAAAGCACATGACCAAAGGTAGCCAAATAAACTAGATTTTCTTGAGAAGCCATAGATTACTATGGGGAAACTTTGCCTCAGAGAGCCCATGAAGAGCTTTTCTTCCAGCCAGCGGACAGGTGCCAAGCAAAACACTGGTTCCCCCTGCAGCTAGTTATCACTATCCTCATCCTCATCCTACTCTCCCAGTACCCACCCAGAGCGATCCTGCCGTGGCCATAACTAATTGCCCAGGACCGGTTACTCTCTAGGCCTGTTTCTCTAATTAAATTACACTCTTGGAATGTTGCTTAACTTGTTCAAGGAGAAGAGACTTCTGTTGGTGTTGGCCCACTCTATCTTCAGCCCGAATTGCTAATTGACGTTTTTTATTACAGAAAGGAAGCGGGGCAATTCTGAATACTGTAAAAACGAAGGCGAACCCGGCTATGAAGACTGTCTATAAGTTTGTGAGTACTGGTCTTGGTCTTGGGACCCGAACACATCTGTCCCTTAGCAGGATGAAACTCTCCAACATACCTGACCTATACTGCGGAGATGACTCAAGAGCCACTGTGTTGTTTCCTAAAGCTTCCAGGGCTCCTAGAGTTACTTAGTGTTGATTATTTTGTGACCAGGTCAAAGATGCTTTTCATTTTAAACCGTTTCTGCTCACAGTTGCTGCAATCAAGAAATGGGAAGCCACTGGTTTTAGCTTTTAATAAGATGTCGACGGGGGTGGCTAAAATGCTGGCTGCTCTTGCCTGTGTCCCTGACACCTGGAGGTGTGGTCTACCAGGTGTTATGGTAAACCCTTTCCTATGGGGATCCCCATTATCATGTCAAAATAAAGCCGCTCCTTTGCTGGTTACTGAGGAGTGCTCATGGTGGGGCACACTCCCTAATTGTCCCAAATCCTTCATCATCTCTCTCACCACTGCCCTATAGGACGTGCATTGTTTGTGAGACTCATGCCTACAGCAGAGAGAAAATAGGAGAACACGTCAGCTCCCGATCCGATGTTCCATCTCTTACAAGTATTTTTTTTTCTCATGGTTTCTCTTGCTTGCTAATTTGACATGAGCCACTTAACTGGAGTGGTTTTGTTTTATTTCCATTTTTAATTTTGTTAGTCCTTTCTGTGCTTAAATTGTAGCTATTTTAACCAGGAGGGTGGCTGCCAGCAGAACCATACAGGTCTAAAATGACAGAAAATAAAAGCCAGGGTGTGTGCCGAAGTGAGATTTAAGAAACGGCGCTAGGGAAGCCCAGCGATGTGTCTGCTCAAGCCAGTCAGCCCAGGCAGAAAATTGGTCCTGAGGCCCTGCCCTGGTGCAATGTAATAGATATTCAGATTCTTGCAGCCACAAAAGCTGCTGCTCTATCTACACTTACTGGTGGCTGTCACCAGGCTGCTGAGATAAATAATTATAGAGAGCAGAAGAAGGCCTTCGGAAAGGGGGGAGGGGGGTACTCAGTGCCATCAAAATGCAGAAAATAAAATCTCCATAGCCTCTTTAAGGGATTTTTTTTTAAGCTCTTAACATTGTATTTGTTTTCATAGCCATTATGTTTTCGACTTGATGATCCCATTTTTCCTTCTCTTTTTTAGTAATCAGAGAAGGTGATTCGCAACGGATTGAAATCAAGCATAGTCCCTGCTGGAAACAGAGAGAGAATCTTAACTTAAATTAATTTTTCATGCAGGCAAAAGATCATGCAAAAATGGGAATAAAAGAGGTGAAAAACCGCTTGAAGCAAAAGGTACTTGAAGTTCTTATTCAAAATGTATAAGCACCGTGTATGAAACGCGTGGCCACAAAAAAGTATGATGTGATCAATAGAGGGCTGTTTGATACAGTGTTGTTAGCACACTTCAAAATGCATTACCAGCTGTCCGGGAGTTTTCACACTGTTATAAATATTCACAGATAAAAAACTGTCTTCAAATAACATTAAGACTGGCTTAAATCCACAAAGGCAAGCAAGTTCAGAGTTACCACTGTCAGTCTGCCCCTTGCCCACCCTACCAGGCCTGGGGTTCACGAGGCTCTCTAGAAACTGGCTCGGCCTCCCCATCAGGGCACCTCTCCCTCCCACAGCTGACCTCTGCCCTGGGGCTGCTTGTAACCAAAACCAAGAAGCCTCTCCAAGGTAATGACCTCCGTGGTTCCAGCATGCACATGGCCACCACGCAGACACAAAGCACAAAGGGTGGGTTTCAGGAGGACACCACAGGCTCCCCTCACAGTGGCAGGTTAACCAAGAGGAGCCCAGCAGTTCCTGTGTAAGACTCTTGGGCAGCGGGGAGAGGGCCCTGTCTTCTTGGACCATCAGTAAGATGGTGTGAAATCCTATAGGCTACTTGCTGACCAAGACTCCCTTGCCTCATTCTCTAGCCTTGTATAGGGAGGTTAACATAGCAGAGGGTGTTTTTATATTATGATGAATGTCATCATTATCAGGGTTCCACACTTCGATCACCACTTCCTTATGTCTAAACCTTAGAACAACCCTGGGGGGTGGTATTCCCATTTCATGTGTAAAGAGACTAGACTGTGGTTCAGGGAGGCACTTGACGGGATGAGCACTGGGTGTTATGCTCTATGTTGGCAAATCGAACTCCAATAAAAAAAAATATACAAAAAAATAGACTGTGGTTCAGAGGTAAAGGAATTTGCCCAAGGTCATGCTGTTGGAGCTTACAGAGCCTGGATGGGGTTTTAGACTCATCCATTCCCAGTGTCTGTGCTCTTACCACAACAGTGTTTCATATTACCCTCCTGAAACAAGTGTTTGCTTTCCAAAAGATGTTTGGGAGCACTTATATCATTATTCCACACCCCCAAAATGTGCAACTCTAACAAGGCCTTTGTCTATCTCGGCAGTTTTTTAAAAAATTGAAAGCAGTTTTAATTTTATGAAGTCGGAAAGGACCTCTAATTAACTTAAAATGGTCAAAGGAATTGATTCCTTTCTTTTAATTGCAAAATAATTTGTTCCGACTAAGCATTTAAGTTCCTAGTTTCAGCTGAGAGTGAATTTTTAACAGCTGAGATTCAAGTCTCAACATAAAAATCCTGTCCTGTAAATCCAGGCGGACCTTCACTGTGGTCTGTTGTGCCCTGCCAGAGGCTGGCAGGTGGAATTCTTTACCTGGATGTTAAGTCTGATACATACTTTTTTATCTCTTACCCCAGTCACATGTAACTGAATTGGATAAAATAGAGAGAGGCAGGGAGAGGGTAGTTCTCTCACCAAATATTCCCTCCTTGATGACCTGATCGTAGGCTCAGCTGGTGTTAGAATATTCCTTGAAGTAAGTAAAGAAAGGGGTCCCTCCTCAGGCGGAGGACAGATGCTCCTCATTGGTTCGATCTCCTCTCTGTAGGCCATCCCCTCCCTCCTGGTATGGGGAAGAATTGGGCCTTATGAAAATCCCCTTTTTATGATACGTAACATTTCTGCAAATAACCAGTTAAGCTCCAGTTTTTTGATGTTGTTCAAAGGTTCACTTAAACAATCTAGATCACTCTCCTTCCACGCCACCTCCCCTTCCTTTCCTTGATAGTATCTAAAGCAGATTTTTCCCTCCCCTGCTCCTCTTCCCCCTGCCAGTCTTTTCAAGAATAGCTTCAGGAGATAATGTTCTATAGAAAGTGTCAGTACATTTCAGGTGACACAAATGGTGAAGGCATTTTATAGAAATGTGGCTTGTCACCATTGGACTGTTGACAGATCTATTAGTGCACCTTTTTCAATTTTCACTTTTCCCCCCTTCGGTCGTACAGATTTCTACAGACTTGATATTTTGCAGTTGTTCTTGGAAGAGCTATTTTGTAATTGAAACTCCAGCATTGTTCAGTGCAGACAGGACTTGGTCTTCAGCGGTGCTCTCCTGCTCCCTTTCTTGAGCTAATTTAGGATTTGGCTCCATCTGACCTCTCTCACTGCAGTAGAAAATATTTCCTTGGCTTTTTTGTTCCCCTCCCCTCCGCTGCCCCCCTCCCCTTCACATGGCAACATATCTGTGTGGCTCCCCAGATGTGTCTAATACAGACATCTCAAGTTTGGTTTCTGCTATGAAATTGAGGCAGTTCCCAACAAAGATCCAATTTTCAAATGTACTGGGTTGCCACCTGGCCTCCTCTAACTCTGCATAGTGATGGTGACCTCGCAGATATAATCAAGAACCCAATCTTGCCCTCTGCGCTCTCGCCTTGGGTTTGAATTGCAAATAGAAAATGTGGGCCCGACCTGCAGAGAGGTCACCATGGTGTGTGGAGGGTCCAGCTCTAATATGACTGAGCAGGGCCCCTTTTCCATCCCTTGTTCATTTGTGCAGCAGATTTTCAAAGCATCTGAAAGGGGAGCTTCCAGGGTATCCATGTGACCATTGGCAAATAATTGTTAATAGATACTATAGTGTGGCTTTATTCCATACCTGCTCTGCTTCAGCCCCACAACAAAAAAAAAGAAGGATGGATAACATATTTCTCTGGATGAGTGTGGCAAGGTGGTCAAGTTCTTCCTTAGTTCAGCCTCCTTTGAAGCCTGACTTGCTCAAAATTAGGAAGAAGAAATGGCCAAGATGCTCCCCAGCCACCACTTTCTAAAGGGAGGACGAGGACGTAGTGCTTTCCTCTAGAGCATCTCCCTGCCGGACCTGGTGTGTAGGAGAATGCTGTGTGGCTGGGCTCATGGCTGTCAACACACTGCATTCTCTAGTGGCACCATGCAAGGCTGGCATCAGAGTGCCCTGTTTGAAAGACGGTGGCCTCACACATGCTCCTTCTCGCCTGCAAGGAACATTAAAATGCTCACATAAGGATGTCATATTTTTTCTTGTCCATTGGGAAACCCTTGGAAAATTCTTTTTTTTCTTCAGTATCAGAATGGTTGAATCAAATGGGCCCATTTCACAGCCCCCTTTTTAAAGTTTCTAGATCTTTGATCTTGGAAAGATAAATCAAGCTTGTCGACATAGAGTTTGTGACAAAGAGGAGCAAGTTCACAGTCAGGTCAGCAAAGCCTCGAGTCTCTGGCCCAACATTTCCTAGCATATTAAAGAGAGTAAGCGTGTGTGGGACAGGGAGACATAGGTAGACTCCCGTAGAACAGACATTTTCACACCTTATCACACAACTGTCAGCTCCCTGTCTCCAACACATTAAAATACACTGCAGCCTCAATCACAGAAATTCCAACTTTGGATATTGTTTTGATATCAATATTCATATTTGAATTTGCATTTGCTGTGGTGTGAAGTAGACTGCAAAAGAAGGGCCCTGCACAAATTTGAAAATGGAGACCAGCGAGACCAGGAACCTGAGTCAGAGATGTGAAGGGCCCTGCCTCATACCCACAGGGGCCTTTGAACGCCTGACACTGTGGTGTGGTATTCGGGTGTCTGAGGTAGATTTAGTGCTGGTTGCATAGGATATTAACTGTGTGACCTTGAGTAACTTACTAGACCTCTCTGAACCTGGGTTTTTTGTTTTTTTTTCATTTATAATGAGCGGAAGGATCGACTTTTGCCAGATTGTTGTAAGGATTAGAAGAGATAATGGCTTTCAATGGCAACACCTAGTAGCCACTCACTCAATGGGACTTTCAATCCTGTTCTTTCCTCATATCCCACATCCAGAGCAGCCAATCTGTCCAGATACCCACTTGTACATACCCTGAGAGCGTGGCTGGCATGGGATCACTTCCCTTTTGGTCATCCACACAGCCACCAGAGCAATTTTTCTAGAACACAGTACTGACTGAATCATTCTCTTGATTAAAGCCTTTCAGATCTTCCTCTACCTCAGCCAGAGGGAGTCTTAGAATGCCCCAGCTGCTGAGCCACATGCCTTTCTTAACCAGGTTGTGCTTTCTACATACACCCAGGCCTAGAAAACTCCACCTGCACCTCTGCCTCATGAAGTCATATCCTAGGCTCCTTCTGGGTCAGCCTCCTTCCTTCCCTAGGTTTCTGCCTCCTGAATTCCCAGAGGTACTCTGTCCAGTGCCTTACTGTACACTGTCCTGTCTCTTCCGCAGACAGGTGGAGGTTAGACCCCAGTCATGATTTTTGATTCCAGCAAACTCTTAGGGAAGGTGACAGGAACCGAACTATTTTCCGACTCCTTTGCTTTACCAAGAGATGGGAACTGGTTGGGCCCCAGGGCTCCTGGTAAAACGTCTGTGACCCTCTGGTGGCCTCTGATCTGTAGTCCTGGCTAGTGCCTCCCTCCTGTCAACTTCTTGGTTTTGCATTTTCAAAATGACATTCCGACAGTCTTTTTTTTTCTTTTTCTGTTTACAAACAAAAAACATGTTTATTGGAGACAATTCAACAAATCAGGCAAGCAAAAAAAAAAATTGATCTCGTCTTATAACCTGCATTTTCACTTACTATATTCCGAGCATCTCTCAGACCACTAAATGTTTCTTCTGCATGTCATTGTTTTAAGTGGCCACAGAAAATTTTGTCTGATGGGCATATATACATTTACAAGTCCCTTTCTTGAATACTTGTTAGGTCTAGGTTTTTTTCTAGGCAAGTATTCTCGTAGGTAAAACATTGCAGAAATTCTTAATTATTTGATTAGGATAAATTTCTAGGAATGCAATTAATCGGCCAAAGAGCATACACTTCTTTTAGGGTTTGATATAAATTACCAATCTGTATTCCCTCCAGAAGGGTATGAGAGTGCCTGTTTTCCCAAACCCTTTGCTGAACAGTCTCTCAGTTCCTCCTGAGACCACAGTTTTCTTTAATCACGGGATCTCTACTATGTGCGAGATCTCTGCTGGTAGATACAGTAGAGGATGTGAGTTGGCCCTGTTTCTTTCTTGCCTAGGGCTCCTCCCTCTCTGCTGTCTCTGGGAGGGAGCAGTTGCCCTTCCCCAGCTACAGGCAACAGTGAAGAAGTTAATAATTTGGTGGGGCAAGCCACGGGACCTTGTGAGAAGTGTTTTGCACTTCGGGATCTTCTAACTGCAAAAAAAATAACGTGCAGCACTATTTTTTGATGCACATTTGTGTATTGGACACATTTGTCTTCCAAATGTTCAACTCCATTTACAAAGACTTATCGGAGAGTATGTACTATATATTCAGGGCTCTGGGGCAGAGAACCCAAATGCCAAGGAATTGGCAGTCTTTAGAGAGGAGAAGAAAAGTAAGTGCAAAGAGACCATAAGGGGTGGCAGTATAGTGTCAGTGTACCAGAGGGGGAGATCATACCTGATGTCTGTTGAACACCTTCTCAACTCAGAATACCTTCATGTATGCTGCTGTTTGGGGTTGATATTGGTATAAATGCCAGAAATCACATAGCTCTTGGTCTCGCCACTTTCTAGTTGTGTGGCTTTGGGTGAGTTGCCCTCTTTGAGCCTCGTTTCCTCACCTATAAAAGAGCGATAATCTTGTTTACCTTGTGGTTGCTGTGGAAATGAAGTGTGGTATGGAAAGTCAAGGGTCTGGAAAAGTGCCTGCCAGTAGTAGGAACTCAACACAGTGAAGGGAAGCTCTTTTTTTAGATGGTGCTCTTTCCATTTTGCAGAAGATATGGATCTAAGGTTCAGTCTGTGCAGGACCATAACCGTTTTCAAGCTCCCTCATCTTTCATCTCCTTTAATTCATTCTCCCCGTAGCTTTGAAGTTCACCAAGCAGGTGGCGGTCTCCCCGTTGTAAAAATAAAGAAACAGGTACAGAAAGGTTGGAAAAAATCAACTAGTTAATGGTAAAAACAAAACTTAGAAGACAGCATTTCCTTATAAGCTTAAACCAAAACACTTCCCAAAACTACCACATACATTTTTTTAAATAGCTATCATCTTAGAGTTTTTATTACTTTCAATATTTTCTTACCATGTAACCTTACTGCTCCATTTCTTTATTTTTTTCAGCCACTCATACACACGTGTCGACGTGCCATATTTTTCCTGAACTGAAAGTAGATTCTTTTTCCTTTTCTTTTCTTTTCTTTTCTTTTTTTTTTTTTTTTTTTTTTTACTGTTTGGCTTTACTCAGCCTTTGTGTCTGTCTTCCCAGTAACCCCACCTGGATCCAGAATGCCCCCTTTGCCCTTTGTTACTTTCTGGCACAGACGGAGCCCCTCCCCTTCTTTGTTCCACTTGACCTGAGCACCTTAGGGCAGCCCCTTTTCCAAAAGAGTCATTTCTAATTGGCTGTCGGCAGCCTCTCATCACACAGCCTCAGCCAGCCTAAGACTTGGGGGCCACTTAATGTAAACCCTTCCTGCAAAACCTAGAGGGCATCGCCTCCCTGTGCTTTTACCAAGCAGAGCCAGAAACTGCAGCTGGGTGTGTGGGGTTGAATATAGCGAGATCTCTACAGTTTATTATAATAAAGTTTATATACCTTAGTAGTAGGCATTCTGTTATTATTGAGTGCTGTGCATAGTACATTATTGAGTAATAATGTTCTGGACACACGCCGCTTTATCTCCTTTACTCCTTACAGCTACTATATCCACATTTTATAGACAAGGAGACAGAGATTAACAAATGTTGCATGTATTTCTTCCTTAATGCATTATTATCCAATAAGGGATCACATTCTTCCATTTGCCACCATTCTTTTTTATTTGGCTACGTTGAAAGCAACCAGTTGTCAAGTCTTTTGTGTGCAGAATTTAAATGACTACTAAAGGTGTGTGTCTTGTAGACCAAAATACATCTTTGTTTTTGCAATGAAAAGAATCGGAGGGTTTTTTTATTATTTCATTCTGACTGGGAGTTACTTTTACTTGGTAAAAAGAAAATTATTATTATTTAAATGTTTATTTGTACATTTATTCATTGACTTGCTCCAATAAAAATCTAAGCAACTTTTACAACTTGAGTAAAACACATGGTCCATACAGCACAAGCGGGCACCAGCCAAGTCCCAAGGAACCAAAGGAAGAGTTATCTGCCTTTTGCACATTGGAGTTTTTCTTTTCTTTATACTTTGACTCCATTCAACAAAAGCCCAAATTAAATGTAAATTTCTGAACTTAAATATGTTACTTTGGTTCCCTAAATATTCTCCAGGTTATAAAATCCTACCTCAAACTTGGGTCTCCTCATTCTCTGCCAGAAAGGAGAAGGCTAGGAAAAAGGGGAGCACAAACACCTCGTTTTCACAAATAGTAACGTCATCAATAAGCAAGCGTGAAAGTGTCCACACTCACAAATAACAAAGTATGCAAATTAAAACAACAATGAGGTCTAATTTTACACCTCCTAAATTAGCAATACATTTTTAAAATGAAAAGGCTAACAAGTACCATGAAACTGATAACTCACCCATTGTCGGTAGTTGGTGTAAATTGGAAAGCAATTTGGTAGAATGAATAAAAAGGCTTAAAGTGTTCATATCTTTTGACCTAGTAATTTCATTCCTAGGGACTTCTATAAAAGAAATAATCCAAAAGAAAAAAAATTGCAATGCTTATCACAATGGTGTCTAGAAAGTAGAAAGAGAAAGAAAGAAAAGAAAAGAAAAGAAAGAAAGAAAGAAGGAAAGAAAGAAAGAAAGAAAGAAAGAAAGAAAGAAAGAAAGAAAAAAGAAATAACCTAAATGCCCAATAGTTTATTGTGGTTTATTAAATTATATATCCACTCAATAAAATATTATGCATCTATTAAAATTATCATTAAAATGACTGTAGCACCATAGAGAGTCTTATAGTAGGAAGAAATAGAATGTAAAATTATGCATGAGCTGTGATTGCAAGTAATTTTTAAATGTCTGCATGTGGACAAAGTGAATATGTAAAAATGGAAATAGCTGTGTAAGGTAGTAGAATAAAAAGATTTTTTCCCCACTATTATGAATTATTGTTGTCTTTGCAATTTAATGTGTATGATTTTGGCTTCTCCTGTCCTTAAAAGTCAAAGAGCCAAGTTACCCTTCTGCTTCCAGGAGAATAGGCTCTGAACCTCCCAGAGGGTGTTCCATAGCAGGCCCTTGAGCTGTGGGGTTGGAGGGAACAGCTGCTCACAGCAGGTGCTGTGACCCCAACGCCAACCCCCCACTGGCTTCTCCCCACAGGATATCACCGAGAATGGCTGTGCCCCCACCATGGAAGAGCAGCTGCCAAAGACCGTGCCGTCCCCACTGGTGGAGGCCAATCACCCTAAGCTCCGAGAAGACCGAAGGCCAATCACAGTCCACTTCGGACAGGTATGTACCCAGGCCCTTGGACTAGTCTTGCTTTGTTGTTTGTTTTTTGTAGTTTTTTTAGCAGAAGCTAGAGCACTGTGGCAGACAGACTTCATTTCCACTGTCTTTGGCAAATCCCTTCTTTGGAGCTTTGCACATCTTTGAATGTTTATTTGGTACAAACGTGTTTTTACGTGTTTGAAGGGGAGTTTTCAGAAATTTTGAGGAGAGAGCATGGCTCTGGTCATAGAGTAGCTCAACTCTTGAATGAAGTCATTAAATGCGGCTGCCGCCTCCCCCACTCCAAGGCACTCTGTTGAAGGTGCCTCCTTTAGCTAAGCATCTCATTAGAACACTTTAGCATCCCAGGCCCTTCTTTGCACCTTCAAATAAAAGGCAACAAGCGAAGTCTTAAAAAAAATCAATTAGGAGTTCTTTATTAATGTACTTCCTGCAAATCAATATCAGGAGTCATGCTTCTTAGAGGAAACCCCTGCGCTACTATTCCAGAGATCTGATTCTTTCACCAACTATTTCTGATGACCTGAGCATTTGAAAAATTGTCTATTTGTTTATTCCCCCCCTTAAGTAAAACATTGTATTCCATATAGAAACTGAATTTTTCAATCTATTTCCAAGCAGTGGGTTTTATTTTTAGCTGAAAAAGATTGTACACGCTCCCCCTTAATTTCTCTTAAATCTACTCTCTTGATGAGCAAAAGTCATAATTATTTGGTTTGTGAAAAATGGCCATGAGCAAGATGTGCTGTGACAAGAATTTGCAAGGTTACTTTTTTTTAAATCACTTGATTTCTTTAGCCATTGATTGGATGGAACATGACTAAAATAGCCTTTATGATTTTACCTTAAGTATAGTGGCTGTTTCATCACATATAGGATCTAGAAACATACATTTTAAATGCCCTGTTTTTAACAGATATTTATCCAAGTGGCTACTTTGTACCAGCATTGAGCTATCCAGAAATAGAGGAGAATTAATGAAATGGTTGCTGTGGATTATTCTGGAAAGGGGTGACACTATTGACACATAAGAATCTTCCTCCATAATCAGTATTTTCAGATAATACATTCATACATCTTAAACTTCAAGAGGTTGGTCCCTTTTTCTGATTTTACACTTCAAAGGGATGTTCTAAAAACTGAAATGTAGCGCAAGAAGGGAGCGTTCTTGGGCCAGTGCTCACTTGGGGAGTACTCATCTTCAGATTATGTTGTGTTTGCACCCCTGAAGAGCTGCGTCCTCTGGGGCTCGGGCCCTGTTGGAGAAACCTGCACCCCAGTTCCCTGGCGGTGTTTGCTGAAAGCACAGCCCCCGTGGTAGCCAGCGTGGCATTCCAGAGCCAGCTTCCTGCTTTCCTTTGTCCTCATTCCTGCACACACTAACCTTCCCATGAAAAGAGCCCCTCACTGGAGTTTGAAGCCCATTACAGAGAAAGAGGGGGCGGGGGAGAGGGATTTCATGGTGTTAAACATTCCATTTTCAAAACACAAAAAAGGAGGCCCTATTTGAAATGGAGAAAAACCTTCTTTCCATTTCAGCAAGAAGTAAAGATGCTTTAATGTCATTCCCAGCTAAATGCAGAATAAGAGTGTGTGTGTGTGTGTGTGTGTGTGTGTGCACGCGCGCACGTGCACGCGCACACATGCACGGGTGGGAGATAAACAATTAAAAAAGCCACCCCAAACTCTGTTGAAATAAGAGCTGTCTGTGCCTTCACAGGTCTGTAAACTGGAGAGGATGAAAGTGGCTTTTTCTCTCCGTTTGTCACTTCCCTCACGTGGCTGCCAGCATTATGCAAGTGTACAGGAAGGCAGGATTTTTTTCTTTTTAATGCATGCATGCGGATTAAGGTCAAGCCCCAAGTATCAGCCATGCAGCAGGCTCTCCCTTACAGCTGCAGCCGCAGAGCCTACCCACAGCCACGAGATGCCTTAATTGAGACGTGCTGTCAAAGTGACAAACACATTTGCATACAGTCTACACTCTATTTATTTTCTCTGGAAAGGTCTACAGTCTGCTGTTGGTTGAACATTCTTAATCAGTTTGCTGTAAGTGAACTGCCAGCTAGCTCACTTGTGCTGGCCGCTTCTTCATTAGGTGACAGATTAGCTGCAGGGGGGATGGGCCAGGGAAACCACAGACACTTTCTTTTAACTCTTTCTGGCTTTGCCACATGCTGTTATTTGTTCAGGGCTTTTCCGGGGCGCCTGGTTTGACAGGCCAGTGACCAGAACCAACATTGTTTCTAGAGCACCTACTACTGGCAACAATGAGTTTTGGGGGCTTTCTATTCTCCAAGAAACAGTCTTTTGAGTTCCATTTCAAAAATTTTTGCCACACCCTCCTACCATCTGGGCTATTCTTTTACTTGCTGTTTCTCTTTAAATAGACTTAGACCTGACATCCATACCAGCTTTAGCCTCATCCTAAGTAATGACATTGACAGAACCACAGGTCTGACATATTAGTCCAGTGTTTTCCTAAGGTATATCAAAAAAAAGTCTTTTTTTAAAAGTGTCAATCCATATAGCCCTTGAACTACTCATGTGACCCCAACAGTATGCATTCTGTTTTGGGGAAGCATGTCATCAATGCTCTAGCCCTTTGAAGAAGGGGGACCCAGAGCTAGAACCCAGAGACCTCAGGGGACCTGGCCAGGGCCACAGTGCCAGCGCAAATACCTAGGCCAATCCCAACTACAGAGCCCACTCCAGCTCCATCACCAAGCAGGGATTTCACCTGCTTGGTGCCTGTTAAAGTCAGTGTGTCCCAGCAAAATAATTTGAACTAGCCACATAGTGACGTGAACCTCAGGAAAGATTTTTGCCTTGGGTTTGTACTTCTGTGGAGTGTGTTCTTTCAGAACACTTGGTTTTCTGGTGGGAACAGAGACTGTGGAGGTGGTTATTACATTCAAGCAGTGCTCGTGGAGCCGGTCAGGGGACTTCCGTGGGGACACCAGGGGCGGGTGGCAGGGAGCCAGCGGAGGCCTCAGTGGAGTCCTCAGACACAGCTGTGCCAGGTGCTGGCCAGAGCCACCTCTGCCAGGGGAGAGAAGGTGCTCCTCCCTGCCCCTCTGTCTCTCTGCAGCTTCCTCCCCTGAGGCTATGACCATCCCTCCGTTTAATTATGCATCTGCTCATCCATATATTGAGAACTACCATGTATTTAAAAAAAAAAAGTCCTTGTGGGGCATAATGAGGGAGACAGACTAGCAAGTGGACAGTCCGACCCAGAGTGAGAAGAACAGAAGTGAGGTGAGCTCAGGGCCCCACAGGGGCAACCTCTTCACCCTGAGGGCCACTACCCACAGTCCCAAGTTGGGCCCCATAATTAAAAAATATTTTGTCAACAAACTGAACTCGCAAACAATTCATTTGTTTCTTAAAGCAGGCACATGTATCACCACTCAGCACTCATGATAAGCCCTGTTGACGATTCCAAACGAGAGCAAAGTAAATGGATTTTTAGTGAGCCTCTGCATCCTTTATCCTGTATGGTTTCTTAAAAGAGTTCAGAAACCTCAAACAACTTGAGAATGCCTGTTCCTACCTTGGAAAGTATTTAGGTTTAGAGAGGCTTTAAATAACTCTTCCCCGCACTCCCCCCCCCCCCCCCCCCAGTTTGGACTAGTTGAGAAATAAGGCCCAGGAGATAGTCAAATGAGATAAAAACGCCAGCTTTTTTACTGATAAGGCTGAAAGGAGAATACTGTTTTAGACCTGAGGCCAGATGGGCTTGCTAAAACTTCACTTCAGAATTAAAAAGACTAGCGACTCCATGCAGGAGAAGGGGACGATTGCAGGCAGCAGCCAGCCGTGCCTGGGGACTGGATGCTCTGCAGGAGGGAGCCGCGAGGGTGCATGGAGCCTGGAGTATGCCTGGTTCTTTTCCCAAACCCAAACAAGCACTTTCTTCTCCCTGGCAAGAGTGAACAAGGGGGTGCAGAGAGAAGCTAAGGATCCCCCCATGCTCTTCTCCCCTGGGAAGGGGAGTGGACATGCCCACCTCTCTGTAGGTGTGGAGGGGCAAAGAAGCAGTGCCCTCCATTCATCCCTCAGCCAGAAACATCCTGCCTTGACCCCTCCTTCAGGGAAATCAAGGGTAGCAACTCCAAGAAAACTGCTTTGCTCCCTGTGTCTAATAAAGTGTTTTCACATCTGTGCTTGTTTCACTGAGTCTTTACCAGCTGGTAAGGAAGAAAGCACAATACCTGCTGCACAAACAAGGAAACAGATATAGAAGACGTGTGCTTGAACTTGTGGCTAATTCACACTGCACAACTAGTGGCACCTCTGCTTCTCGGCCCCCACCCTGGCTAGGGGGACCCAGCTGACCGTGGGAGCCCAGTGACTAGGCTCTAGTCCTATCTCCATGCTGGCAGTGCCAGGAGCCAGGCGTTCTCTGGAAGTGGGCAGACAGGGCTCCCCCAGGAACATCATGGTAAATCCATTCCAGGGCCCCCTTTGTGTGTTCCCTCCAAATGACTGATCCTGCAAATGGAATTATTGCCTGCCATCCAATCTGGTAGCTTCCAAGAAGTACATTCTCCCAATTGAGGAAAGGTCTATAAATCTCTGTAATGCAAAGTTTAAAGAGCCAGATAAACCAAAGCCCAAACTAAGTACTCTCATGTCTTGCAGAGATCTGGGACAGAGGGCTTTGGCTACACACCCAGGAACAGCTTTTGGAATATGGTCGCCTGCTTGTCTGTGCATATGGAGAGCCCTGGCTTGACAAGCACGAGCTGGGTCATGTAGTGCCAGTCTCACACTAGGCTGGAAAAGCTGCCCAGCCAGTAAATGCCTTCTCAGTACCCTTGGCTCCAAGTGCCCTGAAAAACCCCTTCTGCCCCACTAAGCTTGGAAGTCACACACAATTTTCCAAACACCTCCAACAGATATTCCTGTGTTCTCCAAACATCTCAAACCACCACAAGCTTCCAGTCTGAACGTATACTCCCTGCCAAACTCTCTTCTCGTCCACGATCTCCACCTTA